AGTCTTTGGTGTCCATTAGCTCGTAGATTAATTTTTCTTCATGTTTCACCAACATACTTCTTCTCATAGTCTTAAGTTTCGGATGATCAAACTCCTCAGTAGTCCGATCTTCATTCTGTAGTTATGATGAGACGACTACTCTTTCTGAATGTTAATTAATGCGCTATAACGAGACACTCATGTGGAGACTGTTGAGAAAGGAATAAAGTGCGGTAATAATCCTCAAATTTCAGTCTACAACTACAGACTGAAGGTCAGAGTACTGAAAGTTTTGATGATCAGAAACCCAAGCTTTTCAATTTAACTCTTTCCTCTAACTTTATAGAGGTCGGGAGAAATTCCTCTAAAATACGTTTAGACAGAAGTCCTGAGTTATAACACAACCATATTAATATCAATTTTTCTTATATAATCATTAAATAAGTAGGATTTATACTAGGGCAAAATTTTTGGCATGAATTCGTTGGGTTTCGTTCTAATCAGCCTACATCATACTACCGCAAATAACCGTATACCTGTCAGTATACATATATCTCAAACAAATACTGCTTAATCTGGGAAAATCTTCCTTACATGATTTAAAGTTGCCCCACTTAACAATTTCCATTACATTTGAGTAAAAGTACCTGCATTGGATTAAAAAAATCCTTTGCTCGTTTATGAAAATGATTCACTGGTTCTTTTTACTGCTTTAGCACTTTGTCATTCTTTTATTGCAACAATTCCGATCCTGATTGTTTTTTTTTATTTTTTATTTGCATGTTCTCTGTTCTCTGACGGCTTAAGCTGAAAGGTGATGAGACCTGTGCTCACGCTTTTACTCTGGATCGGTTTTCTTTGGACAATTATGTCCGTCTGGACAGCGCAGCCTTGCGAGCACTTCACCTCCTACCGGGCCCTGACGACAGTAAAACATTCTTTTAAACTATTTACTTGTATGCTGGTCTTCTCTCTATCCTTTTCTATCGGTCAACATTTAAGAATCCATATACCTATTGTGCTTGACATCATTCAAGGGGACTCACCAGTTGTAAGAAATATGCTAATAATCCCTCGCATGTTTGATACCTTCGTCAAAAAGCTTTCTTCTATAATATTTAATATGTTTTTCTTCTCCCAGAGACAGCGAAATTTATTATTGATTTCGCCATTTCATTTTGTTTTAAAAGGTGAGTGGACTGAGGCCGAAGGAAGATTGCTTTGAAGTTGTCGCTTAATTTATGCGAAGGACGCACAGTACTACGACATTGTTGAATTCCTGCTATTACAGATGATCATTTAATATGGTTTATCGTAAGATTAAATCAAGAAAGATGGCCTGCTGCAATCCTACTTATATCTAATTTTGCGGTCATACATACATTAGACACTTAAAGATGCGTAAATTTAATATATGAAAGAGGATGTAAATCTAGTCACAGCTACTTATATGCATTAATTAGCGATTGGTCCTATTATGTTGTCGCATGTCCATGTTTCTGGTTACATCTTCTGTGTGTATGCAGTGCTTAAGTTATTTGAGATATTACAGCCCAAGTCAGACTCCGGTTCAATCAAGCCTCCTTTTACTCAGTGGTCCGTGCTGCTACCTTTCTCTAATTTTTTCTAAGAGCCAGAGCTAGTTCCTGCTGAATTTCATAAATTTATTTGAGATATATTCACCCTATTTTGTTTTAGGTGATGAAGGACTAATGGTTAAATTTTCCTGCAATTATATGAGTAGATTGAAT